ACCAAGCAGATTTTCTCTGGCCGCCCATTCCGAGACCCCTGTTGGGACTGCAACGGTCTAGGGTAAGTGCATGCCAATGGTTGTGTATTCTCTCACACAGAGGATATCTTAATGGAACCATGCTGGCCAGGAGGGGAGCTTTGCAAGTTGAGGCTCTGAGGCACCCCCTAGGAGAACAGGGTGGGCTTGGGTGGGATCCTGGCTTACCAGAAGGTCACTGTGTGGGATGGAGAGGAGGAGCTTGACGAAGGTTTGCAAGGCATTATCAAGGGCATCATCTCCATAGAGACGGAAAACGCCAAAGTTGACGTAGCTGCCACTCAGAGCCGCCTTGAGCATGGAGAAGCAGATGGAGATCCCTTTGAGCTTCAAGGCGTACACCTGGTCCTTTGGGACCTCCCCCAGGGTCAGGATGCGGTTCCCTGCAAAGGCACAGAAAAGGAGCTGATGTCCCAACACGGCCCAGGGCATGCCCCCTTTGCCCCTTGGGCTGAAGACTGTGATCCTCAAGATGCTTCAGTCTGAGGTCAGAGGGGGCAGGAGGCGGTCCTTCTACCCCTAAGATGTGGTCTCTGAAAATAAGTGAAGAGGGATCTCCCTTAAGGACCCCCAAAAAACACAACCCCCTGGACAAGATTTGGAAGAGCCACCCTGCGAGGCAGTTGCCTTTGCCCTCCCTTGTAAGAACACAAAGACAAAGCACCAGGTGGCCAAGCAGGGGCACATTTTTACGAAAGCATTTGTTGTTTTTAGTAAATGCTTGTTTTTCATTTTGTGTTTCTTTAATTACAGCAGATAAATTAGCATAATCTGCCAAGTATGTTTTGCTCCTTTGCGTTTGATACACTGTAATATATGAACTCAAGGCACACAACCACAGCATAATCCGAGTGTGGTTATCTGTTCAGCTGAAAGCAGAGAAGCGGCTGGACTCTGAGCTCCCCCCCCGGCCCATGTGGGTTTCAGGGGAGAGGAGCTGAGCTTGGGAGCCCGTCCTCACCCGCCCAATTCAAGACCAGAACAGCTGCCAAGCAGGGCAATCCTTCACCTCACATAACAACCCTGCAGGAAAAGGGGACGGCTATCCCTTCCCTTACCCCCCACCCCCCCAATACCTACCATAGGTAGTTATCATTTTGCTGGTCTCCCGGAAAAGCAGGATGCCGTTGGGTGAGGAGACATCGAACTGGAGCCTCTGGGACCTGAAAGGAAGAAGGCAAGCAACCCCGTTGCCCCGTGGCTGAAGCAGACGAGAAAAAGCCCCCCCCCTTATGCTCTTCCACTGCTAGAGAGGGCACCCTCGCAGGAGAAC